ATACATCAGATAAGGGGCTAATTTCCAAAATATATAGCGTACTCATACAACTCAACAAAAGGAAGACAAAGAACTCAATTAAAAAAGGGGCAGAGGAGCTAAATAGACACCTCTCCAAACAGGACATACAAATGGCCAAGAGTCATGAGCAAATGCTCAACATCACTAATCATCAGAGAGATGTAAATTAAAACAACAATGAAGTATCACCTCACACCTGTCAGAATGGCTGCCATCAACAAATCATCATACAACAAGTGTTGGCGAGGGTGTGGAGAAAAGAGGACTCTAGTGCACTCCTGGTAGGAATGCAGACTGGTACAGCCACTGTGGAAAACAATATGGTGCTACCTCAAAAAATTAAAAATTGAACTTCCATTTGACACAGTGATCCCACTTCTAGGAATATACCCTAAGAAGCTTGAAACACCAGTCAGAAAGAATATATGTACCCACATGTTCATAGCAGCACTATTTACAATAGCTAAGATCTGGAAACAGCCCAAGTGTCCATCAGTAGACGAATAGATAACAAAGTTGTGGTACATATATACAATGGAGTATTATCCAGCTGTAAGAAAGAAAGGTCTCTTGTCCTTTGAGACAACATGGAGGGACCTGTACAGTTGTATCCTATGTGAAACAAGCCAAGTAGAAAAAGACAAATAATACATGATCTCACTTATATATGGAATATAATGAATATAATTGTATGAGGAATATGGTAGACCCAGAAACAAGGAAGTTGGATACAGACTGACAACACTCAGTAGAGGGTGTGGTGAGGGGTGGGAAGAGATAAACCACAGAAATTATGTGCATGTATCCATAATGGACATGGACAACAAAGCTGGGGACGTTGCAGGGCAGGAATGGGGAGGAGAGTGTCAATGGGGTAAAAAAGGGGAAACATGTGTAACAAAAGTAAAATTAAATTAAAAAAAAGAAGAATGAACACTATTCAGGTATAAAAGAAAAATATCTTTATGCCCTGACATGGGAGCTATATGTGAGTTGTTAATTTAAAAAGAAGAGCCAATAATAACATTCACAATATAATCCCTTTTCTTATATTTAAAAAACAAAACAAAACATGATTTATCTTCTTTTTCATATATTTACAACAAATAAGTATCTTATTGAATAAACACAAGAAATTAAATGAAAGCCAATGTCTATTGATTACTCCCTATTTGAGGCAATATACAGAGCACTTTACATCTGTAATTTTATTTAGTCCTAGCTATCTGTTTCACAGAATCATTGTACAATTACATACATTTAGGCTGTGACAGAAGTATTTTGTCCTAAGTCATGCTGATGAATTTTTTTGAGGAAACATCATATTGATTTCCATGGTGGCTGCATCAGTCTGCATTCGCACCAGCAGTGTACTAGAGTCCCCTTTTCTCCACACCCTTGCCAGCAGTTGTTGTTTGATGATTTGTTGATGGTGGCCATTCTGACAAGTGTGACGTGATACCTCATGTCATTTTAATTTGCATCTCTTTGATGATTAGTGACATTGAGCATTTTTTCACATGTCTCTTGGCCACTTGCATGTCCTGTTTGGAGAGGTGTCTATTTAAGTCCTCTGTCCATTTTTTATTGGATTCTTTTTCTTCCTTTGAACTGCCATTCGACCCAGTGATTCCACTTCTAGGAATATATTCTAGGAAGCCTGAGATACTAATCAGAAAGAATATATGTACCCCTATATTCATAGCAGCACTATTTACAATAGTGAAGATATGGAAACAGCCTAAGTGTCCATCAATAGATGAATGGATAAAAAAGCTGTAGTACATATACACAATGGAGTACTATGCAGCTATAAGAAAGAAAGATCTCTTATCCTTTGAGAAAATATGGAGAGACCTGGAAAGTATTATGCTAAGCGAAATAAGCCAATCAGAGAAAGACAAATACCACATGATGTCACTTATTTGTGGGATATAATGAACAAAAAAAGCTGATGAACAAAGTAGACCCAGAGACATAGAAAGGAGTGTGGTTCAGAGTGACAAATTGCAGAGAAGGGGGTTGGGGAATGGATGAGGTAAACCAAAGAACTTGTATGCATGTATGCATAACCAATGGACATAGGCAATAATGCTTGGGGGGTGGGGGTGGGATAGGGAGGAGGGTGTCTGGGGGGAAGAAGAAGAAACATCTGTAACAACAATAAATTAATTAATAAAAAATGGAAAAGAATAGTTTACCTAAAAAATGATATATTTTATATGACTAGAAGAGTGCAAAATATTTAATGTGGTTTCATTCTGTTTACAAATAAAGTTTATTATTAAAAATAAAATAAGTTTTCACACACACACACACACACACACACACACACACACACACACATTCTGACATGAGATCTAAGGAAGCTTTCCCCCACTTTGATTTTTGGATTGCTATCTCCTGGGTGTGGGAATCTCAAAGGTGACTAAGACTTAAGTGATCATATAAGCCATGCCTTCCTGACACAGAGTATATTTTTACAGTATGAATCCTCACAGATACCACAAGTGTTACTTTATGAATAAAATATTTCTCGGGATATCACAATGAAGAATTTTACCAAGGTGAATGATTTGCAAAGAAGTGTTTGGTATTCCTCAAGAAGCTTCCTGTTCTGATTTCCTGTTACAGTGTTTATTCCTTCACTGAGTTTTGATGTGCACACATCTTGGTACTTGGCTGAATGTTTGTTAAGAGTGATCGCAATCCTAGGGTTTCTCCCATGTGAAAAAAACAAAATAAAACACTTTATTTTTGTTTAATGCCTGTGCACCTCATTCTGCTCTTTATTGAGTGGATTCTGCATTCTGGAAACTATGGTGAGCATTTTGCCTAACTGGTTTTTTGGAGTCACATTTCAGTGAGATGTACAACCATGGAACCATTTTAATTTTTCGCTCCAATCTCTTTGAACATGCTAACGTGGGTCCCTTAGGTATTAGCTTGGGCACACTGCTCTGTTTTCCACATATACTCAGGTAGTATAAAGTCCACTTCAGACCAACTGAAATCTTTAAACTCATAACCAATCTAACCCTTATATCCCTTTCTGCCAGAGCCAGGCTTGGTCTGAGGAACTCAGAAAGCAGTGTAGAGAGGATTTGATCTGGCTTTTCCCTCTGCCTTTCCAGGCCAATCCTTACTGGGTCCCTTTCTCTTCTGATGTGCTGTGTCAGGCAAGACTGAAAAGGAAAAAATGGCAGAAGCCGTCTTTCATTCACTGGTCCCTGAAACAGTCCTTTCCTGGCTGTGATGTCCCCAGTGAGCTGCATGTGTGGGCTCAACTTTCTTTCAGAGGCCCCCTGTCCTGTACCTGAGGACTGCACACCTGAGCCTTGCTAATGGGGTTCCTGCCCCTGGCCACAGTCTCTAGATTGGGAAAACAGTGGGATGGGATGTCAAGCTTGCCTCTCTTAAGTGGCATCTCCTGAATCCACAGGAAACTTTTTTTTTGCCTTGCTGAATGGTGGGACTGTAGGCTGTTCCCAGTTTGGCTCTGTTTCTTTTCCCTGTTATATCTCTCTCTGGAAACTTACTCCTCTACTCAGTTCAGTGCAAAGGGATGGTCTAGAATTCCTCAGCAGATGTTCATTGAGGAATGAGACATTCAACCCCAAACTCTCTCATCAGCTGGGCTTCTGTAGGGAGCTCTCCTGTTCTCTCCTTTCCTCATGTGGAGGGAAAAGCAGTAACAGCACTCTCTCCCTAGGCCAATGACTTCTGAGCATTTTCGTTTGATTTCTGTGTATATCCTTTTGCTTTCATCTGCTGTTGGGGTTGGGGAAGTAACAGTGGCCATGGTTTCTAAAGTCTTTTCTAAAGTCTTCTTGGCTTTTCGTTGGGAATGTGGGAGTTTTGGTGGAGAAAGTCCAGTCAACATCTGGCATTCTGTCATTTAGTCTGCACAAGAACTCAAGGAGATATCTCCATTTTATGAGGGAGGAAAGTTAGAGTAAGGGAGATGAGGTTATTTGTCCAAAATATCACAGATACAAAATGTAAAAAACGTGAAGGGGCACAAGAGGTACACATTCTCAGTTACAAACTAAGTCACAGGGCTGCAACCTAGTCAATAATATCAAAACAGCCCTGGCCAATTTGGCTCAGCGGTTATAGTGTTGGCCTGTGGACCAGAGAGTCCCGGGTTTGGTTCTCGCTAAGGGCATGTACCTTGGTTGCAGTTTGTCCCTGGCCCCGATTGGGGTCGTGTGGGTTGCAACCAGTTGATGTGTCTCTCTCCTCCTGCCCCTCTCTTTCCCCCTCTCTCCCTCACTTCCCCCCTCTCTCCCTCCTGCTCTATCTGAAGATAAATGCATAAATGTCCTCGGGTGAGGATAAAAAAAAAAAATCAAAACAACTGTATGATGACAGAGGCTTACTAGATGTAGCATGGTGAGTACTTTGTTATATATATCAATATTTAATAACTAACTCTGTTGTATACCTGAAACTAATATAATTCTGTATATTGATTTTGTTAATACAAAAAGAAAATGGTAAAACCATGATTCAAATTCTGTCAGGCTCCAATTTATTTGCTTATTATCCAAGCACCATACTGTTGTCTTCTTGATTGTGATGGAGGTATTTACTTTCAACATGGTTAGCGCCAATGCAGCAAATTAGTACAGTGAACTCTTTTTCTAGGCAACTTCTTTATAGAAACAGATTGCCAGCAACTATGAAACATTCACGTAAGGAAACATTAGTTATATAAAAGCTCATATATCTTTTGTTTTTTCTCTTTTTTTTTTTCAAACATAGCTTTATTAATAATTGTTTCCAGTTCCATGTCTACTCTGCTACTGCTATAGTTAATGGTGGGTTATGTCATAAATTATGTTTTAAAGGTTCAGTTATTTTAAAATGTGATTACGTTATGACCATAGACTATGTGTGCTTGTATGTATGTATATGAGAGCATTAGCATATGCTTTAAAATTTTTCTCCATATGCTAATTTTGTTTTCTTCTTAGTTATAGGGATGCAGAAAAGAATTTCCACAATATCTCTAACAGATGCTCCTATGCAGACCATTCCAACAAAGAGGAAATTGAAGACATCTCAGGAATTCTTCAGCGTATTGCTAATATACTAGGTATATTAACTACATATTTATATGACTAAGAGAGAATGAATGAGGAGAAGAGGAAAAGTAAAGGTGTAAAAGTTTTATTTACTAATGAGAAGTTTGCAAGATATGGCACATTGAGATCTTGCCTTCAAGTGATTTAATTTCAACACTCCTGAAGGTGTTTAAGTGGAAATTACATGTGTGGCATTTACCTGGAAATTCAAAAACATTATAATAAAAATACTTATATTCCAGGGAAACTTTTCTAAGTATGCTTACCCTTGACTGAAATTGAAGATCTTTCTGTCCTCTCAAAGCCCATACGTTATTATTTCTATTATTATTATTTCAGTTATTTCTCAGAGGCCCTGGTTGGGGCTGGAGGATGAGTCACAGGTACTCATAGTGGACTCAGAGGCCATGAGGCAGGTCATCTGTGCCTGAGGTCTTTGTGTCCTGTGTGTGGTAGTATGTGTGTATGTGTGTGTGCGTATGTCCACCTTGAAGATGATAGTATTTATGACAGAGGAGCTGCTTTTGGATGCTTCCCAAATGACTAAGGGGCACTGTTGTAAACTGTGCTAAATCACACAGCATTAAAAACCATAACAAACCATAATACCTTAATACCTGGTATTCTAGATGTATGAGAGCTATACTGTGTCATTTGCAAAGTAGATACCACAGCAGGAATACATTTTGCCCTAGTGTCTTACAGAGGTATTTAGTGAAAAATACCTCTTTTAATATTTTTTTTGGAATCCTCTTTCTTCATTATGACTGAGACAGGAATCTGTGGTGGGGAATAAGAAATCTTAGTGACTAACTCCATACCAAACTCAAAATCACATCTACCTCAGAATCAGATGATAGTGGGGCAAACTTGTTTGCCTGATTTTTTTTCCCTGTAGGGTAAGTACTTTCCCTTGAGACAGCTGAGTCCCTTAAAAACCAATTCCAGGTGACTTAAACCCCGATTTTTCTATACATATCTGACTCCTAGAGGTAGACCTGGCTTTTACACCTAAGCTGGGACTCTAGTATGACTCCAGCATCCATGACTGCATTTTCAGCCTAGGTAACTTTTGTAAACACAAAATACTACACTATGAACATGGAGATTTTGTGAGGGGAGGCATACAGATATATATGTGATTTGTCTATAATAGCTGCCAAGACAATGGAAAGGAAGGCCATAGATTTACTTACCTCAATCTTAGTACAACTGTAGGGATGTTGTACTACCTAAGTAAATATTATTGGAGGTGAGGGACTAGAATAATGGGGAAGGGGTTGAGCATTACCCAGGAGCTAGTCACACTTTTTTGATTTTGTCTTTTCAAGGACTCTCCTATCATTAACATCTTTTTCTCTTGACACAATTTGGGTGAGATGATGCTCCACTAAGAAGGATGTATCAGAATCTTGGCAGAGAGATGTTTAATACTTTGGAAAGTTGCTCTTATCCAGTTTGCAAACATTTCCTTGCCCCTCACATCTCTTTTCCTCATGCTCTGAGAATCAGTGAGTTAGAGGAAGTAGGAGGTGTTCAAGATAATAAATATACAAGCAGTGCTAATGGCCTCTGAACCATGACTTGCAAATGAGGGTGCACTAGTCCACAAACTCTAGGTCAGACAGTTTGACATGGTGACCACCAGGTGATGCTGTGGTCCAGCGCAGTTTAGTTGCCTTTCAACAGTTGCAGGTTAAGTAGTGAGTGGAAAGAACAGCAGGTAGTGTGCTACCTGTTGATACTAGGAAATAAGTAGATTTAAGCAAGGTACTGATAATTAAGAAGGTGCCTGTATAATAGGGTTAGGATTACCATAAATATTATGTTTTTTTTTCCCTAGAAAAGAGAGATTAGGTCTGATTTCCCCTGCCTCTATGTGATCATAGGTTGTTCTTAAAATGTAAAAAGCCACAATCATGTAAAGTTTAAATTTCTGAAGAGTAAAACTAAATGCCTGGCTCCTGTGGACCAGATGCTGGCCTGGATCTAACAGGTAATTGTGGGCCTAAGAGGTAGCTGTTCTCTTTTCAATAATGTCCTTTTGTAACTCTTGAAATACAAATTCTCTGAGGACAAAGATAACAACTATACTGGTCATATTCAATGAAAGCTTTGTGTTTTTATTTTATTTCATTTTTTTTTTTCTTTATTGATCTTTAGAGAGAGAAGAAGGGAGAGGGAAAGAAAGACAGAAGCACTGATGAGAGAGAACATTGGTCGGCTGTCTCCTGCATGCCCTCTCAATGGGGATTTGGCCTATAAGCTGGGTGTGTGCACAACCAGGAATTGAACCGGTGACCTCTTAGTGCATGGGTTGACGCTCAACCACTGAGCCACACTGGCTGGGTGAAAGCTTTGTGTTTTTAAAAATTGATTTGAGAGAGAGAGAGAGAGAGAGAGAGAGAGAAAATCAATTTATTGTTTCACTCATTTATGCATTAATTGGTTGCGGAACTCATAACCTTTGTGCATCCAGGACGATGCTCTAATCAGCTGGGACCACCTGGCCAGGGCTCAATGAGAGATTTGTTTTTAACAAGTCATTGAACTATGATTAATCTTAGTTTGCTTAGATTTTAGCTTTTTAAAAAAATTACATTTAAATTCTCCTTTGTAATAATTTATAAGAATGCAAGAATTGATGAACTGGACAGAAAAATACTATACAAGAAAGGAAGTGTTTTTTTTTTTTTAGTGTGGGGGGTTTGGCATGGAGAAATAGTTTCAACCAGGTTATGAGAAATTTTGAGGCTTGGAAACCTCCTCTGTGGATGTCAGAGGGCAATTTTCCAATGATTTATATTCATCACCTTTGGGGAATGTGGTTAGAACTTTGGTGGGTTGGGACTGGGGAATACATATTTTCTCACCTTCTTAACCTAGAAATGGTAGAGAATAAAAATGTCTTTGCTCGCTCATCTGTATGTTATTTATACTTCACCTGTTATTAAAAATGATTTAAAGTCATAGGTCAGAAAATATGACCAGAGCATAGCAAATGACCATCTCTATCTATTTACTATTAACTCCTATAGATAGTTTATTTGCTGGCTCTTCAGGTTGAAGTTTGAATGTAGTGGTTGGCATGGAATAAAATGAGGAAGCTGAATCGAGGGAGAAGCTTCTTGCAAAAGACCAGTGATGCCTCTGTCCTGCATTTATTCTCTTCCAGCTTCCGTAGGACTCCCTGAAAAACAAACAAACACATGTACATTACAGAGTGGTTCATGCCCGCTAATAATGGGAAAGGACTTTCTCCAGGCAGCAAGATTTTTACCATTTAGGTTTTTTTTTTTTGGCTTAGAAACCAGTTGTTGCTATTTCTGTCTCATCATTTACAAATTAGGGATATTAAGTAGACTGCCCCCTGTCATTTATTTGTCTAATTTTGGTGCCTGGCGGTCCCTGGGATAATGCAGTAAGCACTCTAAAGAGGCTTTTAAACTCTTGGGAAAAGCCTATACAAAGAAAGATAGTTGTGAACCATGCCCTCCCTGATAAAGACTTCTGGTGTTCAATTTATTGCTTTATTTGGTACATGCCTTTTGCATACCAAAATGATCTTCTAATTTTGGTTGTGTGATAAATGTAAACCCTCTAGTCACAATCCACAAAGTCCATTTTTAGCTTCGATTAAGTAGTAAAAATGTATTTATATGCTTGTGAATTGCATATTTGAGTATTTTCTTGGGAACTGTAATGGTACAATAAAGCTTCTGTGATAAAGAGAGCGTCTGGACCAAGTGGTGCCACCTAGTTCTGTGGCATGGATTTAGGTAGCCTTTGGGGAACAGAGACAGAGCTAAGGGAGAAGGATGATAAAATGCATAGCTCCCTTTGCCATAATACAATTAAAAATAAACAAGGGATATGACTATTTTGGTTTTAATGCAATGAAAGGGGTTGTGGGCTTTTCAGTGTAGAGTATCAAGAGCTGTGAGTGGAGAAGATGGTGTAGAAAAAAGGCATTCCACACCAGGATAGACATTCGAGCTCTAGTTAATTTATTTACTGATGAAATATAGCAAACCGATGCTATTTTAATAAGCATCATTTATTTACTAAGTATTAATAAAGTATAGTCTTACACTGCCTTTGTTAAGTGCATTTTCTCTTAAAATAATCATGAAGGACATGAATTGTGAAAGAATATTCATTCAAGTTCTCTCTGTTTCAAAGGTCTTCTGTTTGAATGGGGCTTGATTGTCTCCAAAAACTTAGCAAGTGTGAAGTCAGAGTCAGACTAATGTTGTCATGAGATTATTTGTTGGGAAGGTGAGGAGGAGGAAGGAGGGAGGAGATGACATTTGGGCTTCTACCTCACAATATTTTTCTGGTATTGGGGACTCTGAAACACTATGAAACCAGAGCTCTCCATAAAGGGCCACCGATTCCAGAATCATTAGCTGGAATGGAGCTGTGTGTGTGTACATAAGTGTGTGTGTGTATATATGTGTGTGTGTAAATATATATATATATATTTGTTGCTCTTATGTTAACTTGCATGTACCTTTTGGTTTCATTGTGATTTGAACTATGCTTTTAAGCAGCATTTTTTAAAAAATTAATTCATTTTTGTTACAGATGTTTCTCCTTTTTCCCCCATTGATACCCTCCTCCCTCTCCCTCCCTGCCCCGTCCCCAGCTTTATTGTCCATGTCCATTGGTTATGCATACATGTATATAAGTTCTGTGGTTTATCTCCCCCCCGCCTCTTCTGAGGATTGTCAGTCTATACCCTACTTCCACGTCTCTGGGACTACTCTGTTCTTCAGACTGTTATGTTCATTATATTCCACAAATAAGTGAGATCATATGATACTTGTCTTTCTCTGTTTGGCTTGTTTACTTAGTATAATACTTTCCAGGTCCCTCCATGTCATCTCAAAGGATAAGAGCTCTTTCTTTCTTATAGCTGCATAGTACTCCATTGTGTATATGTACCACAGCTTTTTTATCCATTCGTCTACTGATGGACATTTGGGCTGTTTCCAGATCTTGCTATTAT